GCGGGGGCGCTCGGGGACCGCGGCGCGGGCGCGCACGAGCGGCGCGGGGACCCTCGCCCGGCCTCGCGCCCACCTTCCAAGGGGCCGCGGCCGCGGGCACCTCGGGCCCGCGGCCCCTCCGCCTCCAGTCTGGGAGCTCCCGGCCCCACTCTGCCATTGCCTATGGGGATTCGAGAGTTTCCCGGCGGCGCACCTGGGGGCAAAAGCATCGCCATGTGAGTAGCGCCCCGCGTGCGGGTGCGCGAGCGGGCGGCCGGGGGCTCTCGGCAGCCGGGACGCCGGGCGGTCTGGGGCTCGGGAGGGGGCGGCGCGCGCGGTGGAGCTGCTCGGGAAGTTTAGGGCATCCTCTCCTTTTCCATTCGTCCCAACCTGCTCTGCCCCGAAGCGCCCGGCGCCGGGCTCCGGAGACGGGACCCGACGCCCAGGCTGCGGAGGGAGCTGGGGTGCGGTGGGAGCGGGGAAGCGCCGGCCGTGCGGCCGCACCTGCCCCTAACGGGCCCAGGCTGCGCCCTGCTTGCCCTCCGATCTCACCGCCCTTCTCTCCCTCCCCTCCCACCTGCCCGCGGCCTCAGTGGCATGAGGAGGTCACCGGACGTCAGCCCCAGGAGACTGTCCGACATCAGCCCCCAGCTCCGGCAGCTCAAGTACTTGGTGGTGGACGAGGCGATTAAGGAGGATCTGAAATGGTCGCGCTCGGTGGAGGACCTCACCAGCGGGCCCGTGGGGCTCACGTCCATCGAGGAGCGGATCCTGCGCATCACCGGCTACTACGGCTACCAGCCCTGGGCGGCGAGCTACAAAAGTAAGACCCCCTCGCCTCATTTCCCCGGTCCGCCGGCGCATCTCCCCCTGCGGCTGGCACGGTAGCCTCGGGGAGCGCGCGCAGCCCCGCGACCAGCCGCCCCGCTCCCCGCGCTGCCCTGACCTCAGACACCGACCCGAGCTTGCACGTTTTAGGAAGAGGCCCGGAGACGGTTCTCTGGGACCTTTGGGAATATCTGATCCATTTTCTTAAATCCCCTCTCCTTCCCACAGACACCTCTCTGTCTTTATCCCCTTGCGCTTGAGATGTCACAATAAGGAGACAGATTGGGAACTCAGTGTATCCTGCACTGTGTGGCTTCTCTGTGGATACGAACGTGTCAGTCGCCCCGGGTCGGGGCTCAGCTGGCTTGGTTAGAGAAGACAGACTTAGCACGCCTGGATTTTAACTCTTCCCTGCGTCCCCTAGGCCCCGATGATGGAGGACAATTCTCGGGGCCTTCATTTTAGATGTCATTCACTCCCTTTGCCCCAGGTCTTTAGCTGTCCTCAGTGTGGAGGTTCTATATGGATCATTCTAGCGATTGGCATTTGGTCCCTGAGAGATAAACGGTCGGTGCCAGGTGGAACAGCTGAGACTTTTCTTTGCCAGTGGGCCCCAGCGGATGGCTCTGGCAATGCTGTGATCAGTTATACAGACATTACCTGTGTGACCAGGACTAATGTGGTGGACATTTCTTTCTCTCATTTTGGAAGGGAGAAGTTGGCTATAACAAATTCCAGAACCTATAACTGTGAGCCACAATTCGGTGGCCTCACCACTGTCGTTTGACAAGCAGAAAGAGAGCCGTTTATCACCTCAGTCAGTCAAAGAACTGAGTATTGCTTCGTTCCATATGTAATCAAGACTAACAGCTTAATGGTATTGAGATATGGTTTTACCCTTCATGGCTTGAAATTGGAACACATTTTATTGGTCCTTAGGAACAAAAAATCAGGCTTTTGTAAATTAGTCATATTGAGTTCTAAAAATATGTCTCCCTTTAGTTTTTTCATCAAACCCTGGATTCCAAGCCAAAGGTCAGTGGTATGCTAGCAGTTAGCTGGTTACTTTTATTTGCAGGAAGAAACATTAGATTTTAGTGTTTTGTTTCATGCCCTTACTTGTTTTTAAAGGACGGTGGTGATTGCCTTTAACTCTGTATCAACCTTTAAAAGGTTATCTGCCTCTCCTCTAATCTGCTTCTACTGCTAAAATTGTAGCTGATAAATTGGCTTTGGATCCCGGAAGGGAGACAAGGGACCATGTTTTCTTTTCAGCTGAGAAACGTCAGGTATAAGATAAAAGAATGAAAACCCGTTGGAAACCATTTCTCTTATAGATAGGGGTAGGACACTCAGTTTCTATTTACACTTTTTAAATTTCGTTTAGAAATGGTCTGTTTCTTATTTCTCTTCTCAGCTTTCTTAGTAAGAAATTAGAATTGTCTAAAGACAGTTGTACAAATTACAGCCTTCCTAGAGTCGTCTATTTAGCCCCTGGAATCATAAGGTTTATCATTGTAATTCTAAATATTTGCAACTGGCCCCATGAGCTTTATAGAAATTTTCACCAAGGCTTGTAACTCTGCAGGGTTGGCGGGGAGCTTTCAGCAGTGATTGACTGTGTTTGGTACAAACACACTTTATAATTAAGGCAGGGGGAAGGCCATATGGAAAATGAGTCCCTTGAACCACCAGTGGTATTCTTTTTTTTTTTTTTTTTTTTTTTTTTTTTTTTTTTTTGTATG